AAATTACGCTAACCAATTCTTTCAGCATGCAAGAATAGATGACTGTAAGGCGATTATAAATGTATTTTCTTACAGCTGAGCAGTTCAAACCCAGCATTACAATGTTGGTATAAAAATATGTGAAACCAAATTGTATGACAGAGCTTGCTTTGTCAAAACACAAATGTCTCAAAATACGCTGTTTGGCATCATGAGCAGTAGGTGATATTTTTCAGACAAACCTTTTCAAGGAAAAATTCCAATTAAAATTAACAAAAAAAAATTCAAATTTAGTATTTGATAATTTGTCTTTTGATTTCAAGTGGCAACAGTTCTAAAGTTTGTTAGATTTGTTTAAAGGTCAGCTCCAAAATAAAAAAAAATTACCTATGCAAAATATTTTGTTCAACCCTTTGTAACTTCCCAAAGTTATCTTTCCTAAAGTTACTTTCCTCAGTTGAAAACTGCCCAAAAAACCTCCTGTATTTCTGCAGTTCCCCTATGTGCCATCTTTGTCTCCAGTATTTCTCCACAGCCCACAAGCCAAAACACACCATTTGTTCAGCTCTAATCCAAAGGGACTTCACCCATGTCACTTATCAGATCGTTTTTTGGATTTTAAGTCTTCCCAGCAGCTGTAATCTTTTGGCAGCTCGTGTGAGGAGAAGGAAAGCTGAATTTCCTGGCAAAGAAACCACTCTGAACCACTTGTACCCAGCTGAACATCACTGCTGCCTCACAGGGTGAGGAATGAGCTGGGCAAGGGGCAGAGGGAAAAGGATTTAGCAGTGCTGCAGAAGTGGGGTGGGAGCAGGGCAGCGCAGGGGAAACCGGCCAGGTTGCACTGACATGAATTATGCCACTTCATAAATTTTCTATGTTATCTAGTTATGCTGCTGAAACACAAAGTTTTGCATGCAGTGATGTCTTGTTTTCTTTATTTTAGCTGACTAAGGGACAACAGCCCAGTGATGGCAGGAATTTCCCAGATGGTAAAGCTTTTTTCTTCTTATACCTGGATCTCTGACAGATAAATGCAGGGCTCCAACCCACAGAGGGCATGGGAGTGTGATGCTGGTCTGGAATGGTCAGGAGGGATTTTTGAGGCGGCTTTGGAGCTGGGTATGTCCAAGAATCAACCCCTTAAGAACCCTAAGGGGAAGAGTCTCAATTTGATCTCAATGCCGAGCAGGATAGGATAGAGCAGTCCCTGTGAGTGTCATGTCACTCCTCTCTTGTGCAGTCTGTGTCTTCTGTGTGCGTTGTATGGTATGTCTCTTACCTTAGCTCTTTGAGGGGCCTATCAGAACTCACTGAGTTTTTGGGCGCCCTTTGAGGGTCTCAGGGGTTTTTTTTGGGCGTCTCAGTGGGTATTTGGGGTGAGTTTTGGGTTCTCAGAGGGTTTTGAGGGGGCGTTCTGAGGTCCCAGGGGTTTTTTTTGGGGGTGTTCAGGGGTCTCAGCAGGATTTTGGGGTCTCAGTGGTTTTTGGGGCTCTCATCGGGTTTTTAGGAGTCTCAAGGTGTTTTTAGGGGGCCCTTTGGGGTCTCAGGGGATTTTTTGGGGGTCTCACCGGGTTTTTTAGGGATCTCATTGAGTTTTTGGGGGCCCCACTGGGATTTTGAGGTCCCAGCGGGTTTTGGGCTCTCACCAAATTTTGGGGGCCCTCAGCGGTTTCATTGAGTTTTTTGGGGTCCCCTTGGGGGGTGGTCTCAATGGGATTTTGGGGGGAATTTGGGGGTCTCAGTGTGTTTTTGGGAGTCCCACCTATTTTTTTAGGGGTCTCACTGGGTTTTTTGGGGACCGTTCAGGGGTCCCACTGGGATTTTGGGCATCCCAGTGG